ACCTTTCGGCTGGGGGTTTGGTTTCAGCGCCCCGCGCTCCGCCTGCTGTCAGCAGGGTTAGGCGGCCGCTCCTTGCTCGGAACCCCTTGCAGCCCTCCAGGTTGGCAGCCATTCCCGTCGGAAACTGGCGCTTCTCGCGGGCTCCGAGCCCGTCGCTTTGGGGCAGGGGTGGCGGGGCCTCCGCCCCCGCGTGTGATAGGCCCGCCGAGGTGAGCTGATCGGAGCTTGGCCTACCTCCCCAGCCGGCAGCTTGCGTGGCGCCGCTGGTGGTCCGGACACGGGCTTTTGAAAAGGCTGCTCTTTGCCCCGTGGCGCGTCTGGATGTGGTGCACCGAGGGGGCTGGAGCGGAATTTTCATGAACAGAAACAACGCACCCCGGAGCACTCTTGTGCAAGCTGTAGTGGCTGGCCAGGAAATTAGTGCAACACCGTGGTTCCGCCCCCGCCTCCGCTGCTCAGAAACGTGAACTGGGACTTCATTGAGCAGGTCCGCTGAACTCTGTGAAACTTGAACACAGATTTTGCAGTAACCCGAAATGGGAATATTGGCAAATTGGGACCAATTAATTTAGTTATTCAACGAGTTCTAAATAGCATGTTTTCTTAACTTGTTTACAAAAATACATGACTTACACCCAACTCTTCTAGAACTTATTCCCTTTCCTAATATTTTCATTTTGGTAGCTGTTATATATTATTTTAACTTAGTACATAAACTCTCACCCCCTGCCTCTAGTCAATTCTGGCGCATAGTGACCCTAAAGGAGAGGGTAGAACTTCCCCTGTGGGTTTCTGAGACAGTAAATCTTTACTGGCATAGAAAGCCTCATCTTTCTCCTGTGGAGTGACTCCTGGTTTTGAACTGCTGACTTTGCAGTTAGCAGACCCATGGGTAACCCACAGTTTACCACACAGTAAGTGCTTTGGCCAAGCATTGTTTTATTAAGCACTTAGGTCCCTCTTTATTCTCCTGCAACCCTATAATAGAAATACTATATCTATAAAAATGTATTTATATGTATGAATTTATGAAACCACGCTTTTGAACATCTCCAAAGTGCCAGTGAATCCAGTTCAGCTCAGCCAATTCTAATTGAGCAACTTCAGGGAATGAATGGATTCTTGGAGTTAGAGATCCATTTTCCACTTTCTGCAAATCTTAACTAGGCCCTTACTATCCCTCCCTCACTGGGGTAAACATTTATAAGTGTCAGCCCATGCCATCGAGTCATGTTGTTAGGTGCCATCGAGTCTGTTCCGACCCATAGCCACCCAATGTACACACAGAACAAAACACTGCCTGGTCCTGCATCTTTCTCACAATGGTTCCTATGCCTGAGCCCATTGTTGCAGTCACTGTGCCAATCCATCTTGTTGAGGGCCTGCCCCCGTATAGGTTTCTCGAGACTAGATCTTTAAGGGAGCAAACAAGATTGTCGCTCTTTCAGAGTGGTTGGTAGTTTTGAACTGCTGACTCTGCAGTTAGCCCATGGCCCACCAGGTCTCTTTGTTAAGTATCACAGAGGGAAAGCTAGCTGGGTTTGTTTTCAGACAACCACCTGTATCTCATTTTGTGTGTGCCATCCAGTCTATTTCGAGTCCTGTTACTGCCTCTGCTGAGTCTGTATTTCTTTCATTCATTCTTTCCACAGACACCAATCTCAGGCCACATACAGAATAATCTGTGAAATAAAGTTACCGCAGAGTCGGAGTTTTAGATGTCCATGTGGAAAACTGTCCACATTAGAGTGGTATGTGTTGGGGAGCAAAGAGTTAGTTTAGAAGACTAAAAAAAAATGTTTTTGAAAGTTCATCACCTTTAAACCACTGCCCTTTTGCTCTTCCCACTTTGGGCCAAACTTTGTGAAGGCTGTCTGTGTTCACTGCCTGTTTCCTCTCTCCACATTCACTTACCTCTCCCAGGAGTCAGCACTGACTCAATGGTGGTGGCTTTGGTGTTACTCACTCACCACCTGCTGTAATCTGCTCCCTCCCACCACGCCACTAAAGTAGTTCTCCGCTACTTTACGAAGAACTCTCTGGTTACTGGGTCCACTGAATACATTTTTTTTTTTAAGGTTTTACTGCATAAAGTTTCATTTTTAATTAAAATTGTACAATGCCAACATACTTTCAAATATATGAAACCATTCTCTTCTGTACTGTACACATTAGCCGTAGTCTTTGTTCTTCCTCAGGAAGTGCTTCAAGTCCTCTTGACCTTCAGCAAGCAATGCTGTGTCATTGCATATCATGCAGGTTGTTCATGAGATTACCTCTAACCCTGGTGCGTCATTCTTCTTTATGTACTCCAGATTGAATAAATAAACGAAAGGCTACAACCCTGTTGCACACCTCCCCTGAGTCTGAGCCACGCAGAATCCCCCTGCTCTTTAGCAGTGATTGTCTCTTGGTCTGTACAGTTTCTGCATGGATGCATAATGAAGTGTTCTGGAGTTCCCATTTTTCATAAAGTTAGTTCTAATTTGCTGTCATCCACACAGCTGAATGCCTTTAGCTGTTGATGGTCTGCTTTCAGCCACATTAGCAGTGATATTTCTTGTTGCTGTCGGCGAGACCATTGAATCAGTCCGACTCATAGTAACACCATGTACAAGAGACCAAATCGCCCCCAGATGCTGTGCCATCTCATAATTGTTATGTCTGAGCCCACTGTTGAAGCTCCCGGACAGTCCATCTTGTTGAAGACTTTCTGCTTTGTCGCTGCCCCTCTACTTTACAAAGCAGATGTCCTTCTCCAGGGACTGACCTCTCCTGAATCAGATGTCCAGTGTACGTGAGTTGAAGTCTTGTCATCCTGGCTTCCAAGAAGCATTCTGGCTGTACTTTTTCAGACGGATTTGTTTGTTCTTCTGCCAGTCCGTCTCGTATTCTCAATGTTCTTCACCAGCACTACAGCTCAAACGCACTGATTCTTCTCGGTCGTCCTTACTCAGTGTCCAACTTTTACCTGGATCTGAGGTGATGGAAAAGACCATGGCTTGGGTCAGGCACACCTTAGTCCTGAAAGTAACCTCCTGGCTTTTCAACACTTTAAAGAGCTCCTGTGCAGCATATTTGCTCAATGTACTTGACTGCTGCTTCTGTTAGCATTGAGTATGACCCAACCAAAATGCAATCCTGGACAACTTCAATACTTTCTCCATTTATCATGATGTTACCTATTGGACCAGTTCGAAGGATTTTTGTTTTGTTTGCATTGGGTTGTAATCCAGTCCTTGCCTTTATCAGCAAGCACGTCAAACCCTCCTCGCTGTCGGCAAGCAAGGTCGTGTCATTTGCATATGGCAGGCTGTGAATAAGCCTTCCTCCAATCCTGATGCCACGTGCTTCTTCACATAATGCAGCTTCTTTGATTATTTGCTCATTAGACATATTGAATAAGTATGGTGAAAGGATGCAACTCTCTGACTCACACCTTTCCTGATTTTAAACCATGCGGCTTCATCTGTGTCCAGGTCCAACATGAGCACCAGGAAGTGGTCTGGAATTCCTGTTCTTCTCAAGGCTATCCATACTTTGTTATGATCCACACGGATAAGTGCCTTGGCATAATTAGTAAAACACAAGTAAACATTTTTCTGGTATTTTCTTCTTTCAGCCAAGGTCCCATCTGATATCAGCAATGATATCCCTTGTTCCACATCCAGAAGACTGAATCCAATTGGAATCTCTGGCAGCTCCTTGTCAGTGTACTGCTGCAGCTCTTGTTGATGATCTCTACAAATTTTTACTTGCATGTGACCTCAAGATACTTTTTCATAATTTGTGCATTCTCTAAATTGCTCTGTGAGTAGCACATATCACTTGTTGGTGACCATTAAATGTATTCTCATCAGTCATTTATTATGCGCTTGAAAGTTTCTGAAGGTACTGTCTGCCCCAATCATATCTGGTAAAGAGTAAAAAGAAAAAATCCAATGCCACTGGATCAAATCTGATTCATGGCAACCCTATACGACAGAGTAAAATTTCTTCTTAGGATTTCTGAGACTGTAATTTTTTTTTAGAGATCATTTTATTGGGGGCTCTTACAGCTCTTTTAACAATCCACACATCAATTGTGTGGAGCACATTTGTATATATGTTGCCATCATTATTTTCTAAACATTTACTTTCTATTTGAACCCTTATATCAGCTCTGCTTTTCACCCTCCCTCCAGACTGTAATTTTTACGAGAGCAGAAAGCCTCATCTCACTCTTGTGTTTACCAGCCCAGTGCTTATCTCACAGAGCCCTGTCTAAGGAGTAGCACATGGAAATCCCTGGTGAGGAGAGAGAGAGAGAAAAATGAAATCAGAGCTGAGGACAGAAGGGAACAGCTGTTGTGGGCAGCACAAGCAGACCATGAGGAGCTCTCGAAGATGTGAGTGGAATCAGGAGAGAGTGACCGAGGCCAGGGAGTTGAGAGAGAGCTTTAGGAGTGTAAAAGCAGCAGTGCCGAATTAGGTGTTGTACTTAGCCATTGGATACACAGTGTTCTGTTTGTTAGGAAACACTAGTGTACAAGAGTGATAGACTAGACAACACACCATGTTCGATGTTAAAATAGGGGTG